CCACACCCCGTCTCGCTCAATGAAGGCCTATCTGGTCGACACCACCTCTGCATAACAACCGCCTTCTTCTCCCAACCTCTGCACACCATCGCCAGAGATGTGAAATCCTGCGACCACCCTCGAAGGAGGACTTTCGTGGATACGTCGAACCGCGATTACGGTCGGCCCCGAATGTGTGGGACCGCCTGCGAAATCTGGACAGGACGGCCTTTCGGGCGATTTTGTTTGGAAAACATTGTTGTAATACCCCTAGAAGTTGGGTTATGTCGTCAGATACCCCACAGGGGTACGCAGAAATGGCCCGAACTTCTGCATCTGCCCCTGTCCCGGTCATCAGAAACTTCACAATATGCCCTGGCCCTAGCTTGCAGGAGACGGTGCATTTCTTTTGCCAACTGAGGGTCCAACGGCAAGAAATACCGGGCCATATAGACATGTTGCGGAGGGCCTGGTGGACGTATATGCAAAAGATGACAGGTCCTATTGGCGAGTCGGGCATTTTGCAAGGTTTCACACCTCTCATAGGGGCATTTCGTCATACCTATGCCTTTTAGGGGTATCTAACGAAATACCCCAACTTACAAGGGAATGTCAACAACTTTCCCTGTTGTTTATCATTAGGGAAAACTCCATCTGTACCCCCCACCAGTACCTCGCCCAGCTTGAAAAAGCCGACGTGGCCATTAACTCGCAGCGTCGGGCGGGGTACCCACCGACGAACGACCGGTATTCCCAAAAAAAGGGGGGGAAAAAAAATAAAAAACAAAGTTGACAAAAATGAGAACGAAGCAAATGAAAAAAAAATGGGCGAGGCAGGGGGGGGGAGAGAGAGAGAGAGAGAGAGAGAGAGAGAGAGAGAGAGAGAGAGAGAGAGAGAGATGTGACGCCCAACATCACGCCCAGCGCGACTTCCTAATCGGAGTGGGGTGGGGGCCCGGAAGTGCGAAAAAGGGGTGTGCCAAGGATTTTTGGGGATTTGTGGTGGAGTCCCAGGTCGGAACTGAGATCTCCTGTGGCAAGTTTCAGGGGTAGGAGTGCAAGTGTCTTCTGGCTCAAAGTTGGGGCGATGACAGATCGTGCTGCCTGGGCCGGAGTGGGGTGCTACGGGTGTCTCTGTGGGAGTGCTCGTACCACTGCCGATTGTCGCACGTCTTGGGGTGCGATGAAGACGAGCTGGGTTCTCGTCGCTCG